AGACTTTTCTTCCGTCTGAAATAATGAATACATACATACATACATACATACATACATACATACATACATACATACATACATACATACATACATACATACATACATACATACATACATACATACATACATACATACATACATACATACATACATACATACATACATACATACATACATACATACATACATACATACATACATACATACATACATACATACATACATACATACATACATACATACATACATACATACATACATACATACATACATACATACATACATACATACATACATACATACATACATACATACATACATACATACATACATACATACATACATACATACATACATACATACATACATACATACATACATACAAGTTCTTGAGGCGATACCTGGAGTGCTATGCCAGATGAATTACATTTTGGTCACGGGAGCAAATCTCTAAGAACACGACGAGAGGCTGCTGAAACATCTCTGAAGTTCTTGGGACACATCCTGAATGCGGAAGGAATCCAGCCAGGCCCTGAAAGGCTGAGAGCAATCATGGACTTCCGGGCACCGGTCACCGTTACTGAGGTTCGCCAGTTTATCGGCATGACTAATCAAGTGGGGTGATTTATACCCAACTTGTTGCAGAATCTAAAGCCCATCAAGATCTCCCTGGAAAAGACAGGGAAATGAAACTGGGACGTCCACCAGCAACGAATTTTCGACCAAGTGAAGCGAGAGATCACGGAATCTATAACGCTGATGCTGTATGAACCCTAACAGCAGTTAATAGTGTCGACAGAACCTCGTCGTATGAACTAGGTACCGTGCTGCTACAGAAGGATAGACAAGGACAGGTGCGCCCTGTTGCCTTTGCATCAAAAGGACTGAGCGAGACGGACGGAAGGTATGCGCAAATAGAAATGGACGGTTTGCTGTTGGGCATGCGAACGCTTTGAAAAGTTCCTGATAAGAACCAAGTTTCCTGTTTAAACGGACCACCAACCCCTGGTTGCGTTATTGGGTGACCGATAGTTGAATACTATCCCTGCAAGAATCCACAGCTTCAAGCTGAGGCTTGTGCGTTTCAGCTACTCCATGGAACATGTACCCGGAAAAGAGGTGTGGACGGCAGATGCTCTCTCGAGATCCCCAGTAGAGCCCCCAGAGAAGATGGAAGAGGAGTTAGAGGCGTATATCCAGCTGTTGACAAGCTTCCTGCCAGCTACGGGTCACTGTTTGGACGAAGTACGCATTACTCAGAATCAAGATCCCGTGTGGTGCAAGTTAAGAGAGTACTGTGCAAAGGGCTGGCCCAACAACACGTGCGTCCCACCAGAGATTGCTCCCTACTTCAAAAACAGAGACAGCCTCATGATGCAGAGCCATCTCCTAGTAAAATACAACCGGCTCGTTATCCCTAAGTCATTGAGGGAGAAAGTGCTGTGCCAGTTACATGCAGGTTAAAAAGGAGTATCCAAGCACAAAGAACGAGCAAGAGTATCAGTATGGTGGCCAGGACTCTGCACTCGGTTGCAAGAGGTGGTTGGAAATTTCACAAGCTGCATCCAAAAGTGCATATCAAAAGTGGAACCTATGATAGCATCAGGGCACCCAGACTATCCATGGCAACGTGCTGCAGCTGACCTTTTTCCATTGAATGGCAAGCACTACCATTGGTAGTGGTAGATTACTACTCCAGGTTCATAGAAGTGTGTCGACTGACGCAAACGACACCGGAAGCGGTTGTCGCACACATAAAATTTGTGTTCGCCCGTTACGGGGTACCTGAGGTCCTCAGGTCAGACACCTGACAGCAGTTTGTGTCTAAGCGTTTTCACTAATACACAAGCAAATACCAGATTCGCGACATGAAGAGCAGTCCACACTATCACAGAAGTAACGGAGAATTAGAACGTTCGGTAAAAGTTGCCCACGACATCCTTAAGAAGGCCGAAGACCCCGACTTGGCACTTTTGATCTACAGAACTATACCAGGCCCCTGCGGGTTCAGTCCAACTGAACTACTCATGGGACGGCCACTGCGTACAACGTTGCCTATGTGGCCATCACAGCTGATTCCGATAATGCAAAACCATCCGGATTCACAAAGAAAAGATAAAGAGAAACGGAGACAGGCCCAAGAGTACGGTCAACGGCACACAGTAAGCTGTCACAAGGAACCGCTCATCGGTGGATTTGTTTGGGTCAGAGACCCTGGCACTCAGGGGCAGATCGTGAGGAAAACAAAAAAACCGAAATCATATATTGTGAAGACACCATCCAGACAACTCGTCCGGAATACCTCTCATTTAGTCCCATCAGAAAAACCAAGAGAAGACGAAGAACTACATCTAAACAAGAGCCCGGTCTAAAAGTGACTGCTCAGATCCCGTGCATCAACGACGCTGACCCGACATCCGAACAAGTGTTCGATCCACAGCGAGATCCAGCTGTGGCTCTCGTTCCAGAGGATTCGGATATCGACTAAAACACAAAGGAAGAGGAGTCCTACAAGTACACTGGAGCTGGGCGACGAATCATTCGACCTCAGAGATCCAGGAACTAGTTCCACCTCCCCTTTAAAAGAAAGGGGGACGTGGTAATATTCATGTGTAAAAACCCCATAAAACCCCGAGAGGGGGCACCTAGTTGGGCGCGCGTGCGTGACCGAGCTCTCTGGTGTTGTTCGGTCTGTTCCGTTTCCCTCCTTGTGGTCAAACAAAATTATCACGACAATCACGACAGTTCTCAGCATGCGCTCTAAGCACCGCCCTTAGATACGGCTTCAAGTCAGAGATGGGCAAAATACATGCAAATATGTATCGAAATACAAATAAAAAATACTTCGTCAAAAATGTATTTAATTACAAATCTAATTACACTTCCAAAAAAGCATTTAAGTACAAGATATAAATAAAACCAAGTTTATTTGGTCTCCCTCCAAATACTTTTCCTAATACATTCCTCAAAATTTGCGTCAGCGAGTTCAGGGCACCTGCAACGGGTTTCTGGGTATCTCATTTTAATTTTGCATCGCACACTCGGGAGTTAGTGTGCGAGGTTCTAGTAACGCAATATAATTATAATCACAAAAAATGTAATCAGCTTGGACGTAACAGATGAAAAAAGTACAGAGCTTCAAGCAGTTTTTTTTGTCGATTACATTTTGGTATAGACTAACAAAGAACCGAGACGACCAAGATGCGCAGCACTAGCTAGAGAATTATTTATTGTTGCAACTCGCACCAGTTACACAAATCTGGACGACCCGTGCACTTAGAATGCTCCAGGCAAAAATATGAATGGAACTCAAGCTGGAAAGCATCACAAGTTGTCACAGGCACTTATTTAGCCAGTCTGCCTGTGAACGTCGATTTCGTCACTATTCTTGCCCTGGACTAGCACCATAATCACAAAGTCACTAAACGATTGTACTTGATTGAGAAACACTGCATTCGGTGCAGACGTAGTTTTCTTCCTGCTCTGGACAGTAACAAAAAATTTGAGGGATGTATTTTCGCCCACAAAATTGTATTTAATTACAATTGTATTTGAAATACCCACGTTTCAGTATTTAAATACAAACGTAAAATACATTACCCAATTTGTAATTAAATACATCTGCAAAATACACAAAGTATTTGAAATACGTATTTCATATACTTGTATTTGAAATACTGCCCATCCCTGCTTCCAGTGAATACATGTCACGTGCTCGAGCAGCCTATTTTTGAAATATTTCCAGCGCCAAGACGACGCAATCGAGGGGAATAGAAACATACAAAAAGGCTCGAAGTACACCTAAGCACTTCTTATGAGTTGTGATTGCCAAAGCATGAATGTCGTTCTTGCGCGCGTCCTCGTGAAGTTTCCGCGCCTCGGTGCTGCAGGGATCGGCTGGCACGCTCGGGTGGCCGCCGCCCAAGCGCGCCAGCCGATTGCTTTTGCCGGCGCGCAGGCACACAGCGCCATGGGGTGGCGCTGATTAGAACTGACCCGCGGCGGCCTCCCTCGGCTTCGTTTACTTGCCGTTTTGAGTGGCTTCAAACCTGGGATGCCTCAGATCGCGGCTTCCCGAATTTATCTGGCGTTTGGCGCATCTGATGACGTCGGCTGGCTCCATAAAAGAGCTAATGCTTTCGCATTAAAAACAAAAGTACCTCAGTACCTCGGTCTTATGGCCCCCAAGTGCATGCGGTTTCTGGTCGGCACATCTACTCGGATCCCTGTGGGCGATAGCTCAAACACCCGTCTAGACGTCTCTCCGCTTCGGCGATTTCCTAAGTTCAGCAAGAACATTCAACTGCTCTGGCGGGCGTTGAGGCACGAAACGGGTCTATTACGAAGCAGCTTCTAAGCAACACATGGAAGGCAAGTGGCAAGATCTGCATGACGTGGCCCACTCAGAAAACGACTTGAAAAACAAGAGCGTCTCTCGTGGAAAACGTGGGAAACCGAGCCCTTGACGGGCTACCACTGGCAACTCGTCGAAGTGGCCTGCGACCGAAGTGGCGCCGTTCACGACCATGACAGGCAGAAGACTTTATCAGGCAGCTGCAATGCATGTGGTGTCCACGCATATATATAATTCATCGTGCATCATAAATATTACGATTTACACCCATTTCAATTTAACAGTAAGGACCGAGGTAAAAAAAAAAAAAAAAACGCGCTAGAACGCTTAACTAATTCTCCGCCCCCATATATTCCAGAGGAGCAGCGTGACAGGGATAGTCGAGCGAAGTACAGATAATTTAATACTCGGCGCTCAGCGAACACTCAACTCTATAAAAACATACAAGAATCTGAACAGCGAACGATTTAAACAACACGGTTTAATAATCGAAGCATTAACGCCTAAATGAAAATATGTGCATAGCGTTTCTTAACTTTCGAAGATTTGTGGTGTCCATGGTGACCATAATTGAAGTACTGCAGCCAATTATATTTTTTCTTACACCCCGTGCGTGTGCGTGTGTGTGTGTTTTGTCGCCGTGCAGGCCCAGTGCGTTTTATGGTGAACGTGATGCGCGTGTCGGGCGAGTTCGAGGTGTGCGAGGCCGGCACGGTGGCCGCGAGCGGCCGCATCTTCCTGGCCGAGGACCGGCAGAAGCTTTTGGACCACGAGGTGCCCTCTGGGCCCCCGGAGTCCATGACCTTTGACCTCGACGCCAAAGACATCTACAAGGAGCTGCGCCTCCGGGGGTACGAGTACTCGGGAAGCTTCCAGGGCATCTTGAAGGCCGACATCCTGCGTAAGTCGGAAAGGGTGGGGATTTGGTGCCACGAGTGTGCCTCGGGCTCATGTGAGGGGCACGGTGCTTATCCGGTCCGAGGTCATTGGTAGGACTGGTTCACACACTTGCGACTTCTTACGAGGGGATTACGAGCCTTCGCCATAAGTGACGACAGAGAACACACTTGCATGCCGGCCTTATCTATGAAGAATCCCTGGAAGTGCACTGGACTGGAGCGAAGGTTTCGTGGTATTTGCGAGATTTGAGAGATCAAATGTAGATACTATCACTGAGACTTCTCGTTTATAACATTTTGAAAATGTTTTCGAGCCAACAAGGGAATAATGATGAGCGAAAAAAATTAATTACTGTGCAGGAATCGCAAGTGTTCCACGTGGCTCCAGTGTTTTCTCTCAAGAGATCACAAGAAACTGTAACGCACTCTGTCGTAAGCAGTAGCATGTATGTAAAGGAGCATTTACGACGAGATGCTTCATTCGATTTGTGCGTGTCATTTTAAAATAGTAGTCTCTACCATTTTGTTGATCGAGTGCAACTGTGTGCCCGTTGATACAGACCCCTACGGCAAACTCAAGTGGGAGGACAACTGGGTGACCTTTCTGGACAGCATGCTCCAGTTCAGCGTTCTCAGCAACCCTGTGCGCTCTTTCAACCTGCCCGTCAGGATCCACTCGTGCAAAGTGGACCCGGCCGTCCACGCCAAGGTCGTCGGTGGAGCGGGAGACCAAGGTGGGTGGCTCAGCACGACGCTGACGTAGCTCATTGCAACGCCTCGGAGCGACAATGGCAGCTTGGCGCACCTTGAAGCAACACCCAGCGAACCCGGGACTGTGCTTTACGTGGGGAGCTAGCGGTCGAAAAAAAAAAAGAAAAAGTTAATTGGGGGGTAAAGAAATTTTTAAAGAAGCATTAGGAAGGGTTTACTCAGGGATGGGCAGTATTTCAAATGCAAGTATTTGAAATACGTACTTTAAACACTTTGTGTATTTTGCATTTGTATTTAATTACAAATTGGGTAATGTATTTGGATGTGTAATTAAATACTAAAACGTGGGTATTTTAAATACAGTTGTAATTAAGTACAATTTTGTGAGCGAAAATACATCCCTCAAATTTATTGTCACTGTCCAGAGTATGAAGAAAACTACGTTCCGCAGCACCGAATGCAGTGTTCACGTTCACAGGCAGACTGGCTAAATAAGTGCCTGTGACAACTTGGGATGTTTTCCAGCCTGATTTCCATTCATATTTTGCCTGGAACATTATAAATGCGCGGGTCGTCCAGATTTTCGTAACTGGTGCGAGTTGCAACAATAGAAAATTATCTAGCTAGTGCTGCGCGTCTTGGTCGTCTCTGTTCTTTGTTGGTCTATACCAAAATGCAATCGACAAAAAAAGCAGCTTGAAGCTCTGTACGTTTTTCACCTATTACGTCCAAGCTGATTACATTTTTTGTGATTATATTTCTATTACGTTACTAGAGCCTCGCACACTAACTCCCGAGTGTGCGATCCAAAATTAAAATGATATACCCAGAAACCCGTTGCAGGTGCCCTGAAGTCGCTGACGCAAATTTTGAGGAATATATTTGGAAAAGTATTTGGAGGAGACCAAATACATTTGGATGTATTTGTATCTTGTACTTAAATGCTTTTTTTGGAAATGTAATTAGATCTGTAATTAAATACATTTTTGACGAAGTATTTTGTACTTGTATTTCGATACATATTTGCATGTATTTTGCCCATCCCTGGTTTACTGTTTATAGAAGGTTTATTATCATTACCTGTACCGTGTGTCTATGCATTCATCTAACATTCCTGTCACGCAGCAATGAGATGCTGACATAATCTGAGCCAGTAATCTAGTACATACGGTAGCATCGATCTACGATGGGGATGTAAAATGCACCGGAAAATCCGGCGCCTGCACATAAAGAGCTAACAGTTTCAACGGAGGTGTATTTTAATTGGGGACGCATTCCTCTGAAATGTCTCGCCGCAGCCACATTCCTGAGAAAAATTCCTGCATTCTTGAAGACTAAAAAAAAAAAAAAAAAAAAATTACCACTGGGTGGGCGCGTTACGTCCGTACTCCGGGACGAAAGAGTTTGACGCTCCTTTCACTAAACAGAAAGGAGTGCCACCGGAGACGGACACTCGAGCGCGCTCTTCGTGCACCGAGTATTTCTCAGAGCGCGAGTGACTTCTTCGCGTTCCGTGACGTCCCGTCCACAAACAAGATGGCTGCGCTGTTGTCGAGACCACCGAGACGAAAGGCGCAGCCGGACCACTGCCCCTTTTTAGTTGATTAATACTTCTTCCAGCGGGTAAAAACGATTTGTTTTGAAAGCCCAGAGAGAAATGAGCGTTCCGGAAAAGGTTTGTTCGTGCATTTCGCCTGAAAACGAATTTATCTATCAAACGGTAGCGTGCCGATAGCACAGCGGCAGGAATGTTGTCGAGATGAAGAGACATGCGGACCACTACCCTTTTATAATGCTTAGCCCAGTGAATAAAGATGCTTCGATTAGAAAGCCGAAACACCAGTTAGCGTTGAGGAAGAAGTTTGGTCATGCGTCTTGACTGAAAACCAATTGATCTGTCAAACGAGAGATATGCTCAAAGCGAGTCTTCAAACCTTTTAGGAATGTTACAACGTCCGTAGAAACTTCATAACGTCGCTGCCTCTTTTACTTTAATCTCTGCCTCTCCACACAGGCCAAAATAATTTATCTTCGAAAAAATGTCGGCTTCTGCCACCCGTTTCCACGAGATGCCGGGCTCATCATAACCGTGCGGTCGGAAGCACCTCGTGTGGCTCGTCGATAGTTTCGGTGTGTTTCACTGCTGTACGCCATGCGCCATTTAGTTGCTGCGCTCGGAGTATGAAACTCGGAGCTTCGGAGTAGCAGTAAAGGAGCGCGGACTTAACGCGCCCACTCACTAGCGATGCCCTTCTTTTATTTCAGCACGTTTCCTGATTCTACGGTCGTCTTTGAAAAAAGGGTGATACAGTATGTGTATAATAGGGTGCCCGCCTGAACACAGCAGGCTGGCTCGCTACTAACCAAATTGTGTTTCGAAAACCAGACACAGAAATACAGGCGAGAATGCCGCGATTCTTTGATGTCTCTGACGATCACGGTGATAGCGGCGCTTCAACACAGACTGCAGTGCGATCTCTCCCTTGACAACCTGCGTCGCCTGCTAAGGCCTCCTCTCGCCTTGGGAGTTGGGATACTTGGTTCCCTCAACTTGCTACATCCGTAGGCAGTCCCTCGTTCAAGGACTTTACTCTCGCGCGGACCGTCTCCCCGCCTCGCACTTTTGGCTCACCCCACGGAAGCAATTACCCGACCCTCGTGGTTGCTCAGATATCCAAAACAAACACAAAAACAAAAAAAACTTAGCTGTAAAAAAAAAACAAAAAAACTAGAAGAAATGTTTTGTCTTTTGAGAAACACCATTGCACAAAATTGAAGCAAAACGAAGAAGCTGGCTGGCTGAGTGGACAAAAACAGCGCACTGCGCGTTCCCGCGCATTGCCAACACGTGAGTGCAGTATGGGAGAGTCCCAAGGGAAACGACCAAGCAGGGGTAGCGAAGAGATCTCCCCGACTGTGCTATGCGGACCCCAGGTGCCGGCTTTCTTTTTCTTCCCATTTCTCGGAGCTGCCGCGTCGTCCGCAGTTGCCTGACACTTTGCTTAACTTCGTAATTTTTTTCTAGAATTTCTTGGGAAGACGGATGGGAGGGGAGAGAGATGGGAAGGTGACAGGGTGAAGGTATTGTTCAGTAGGCCTTCAGCCAAACGCACGGGGGCTCAGCATATTGCCCACATTTCCTGGAAAATGTCAGCGGGTGCTCACGCCCCCGTTGCTCCCCCCTCCCCGATTCCCGGCTAGTTTAATGCAATACTGGCACCTCTAGTTCAGTGTTAAAGTGTGCTAAATAGATGAGCATTATGAACAACAAATAGCGCCAAGGACAGACAAGAACACAAAGATGGGACAAGTGCTAGACTCGCCCTCGTTCTCTCTTTCCTGTCCTTCTCTGTCCTTCATGTTATTCATTGTTCAAGACTAGTTGCTCGGTGGAACCCCTCGGTGTAACATGCAGTAGCTTCGTGCGACGCCATATGTCTTAGACCGAAGTTAAAAAACTGCACGCAGGTATCGTACTCTGACATTAAACCAGGTATACATGGGAGGGGGGGGGGGCGACCTCAAGCCAGTTTCATCTACATACACTTCGTAACACTGCAAGCCCAAGCACGATATCTGCGCTATTTCACATTTTACTTCTAAGGCTATTGGTGGGCATCTAATTCTACCAGATAGGTTTGTGCTCCTAAACAGAACCTGCCACCACAATAGCATATTGGATATCTCCCTAATGAAAATCGCTTTGATGGGGAATTCAAAACAATTTTAAAGGGTGTGAAGGGGACTTCAGGAATTCCTGACATGTTGGAAGGTGACTAACAGGCTGTAGTTGAGTTTGTTGGTGCATAATACAAAAAAACGACAGCTGAACTTGGAAAATAGAATATAAAGAGGGAAAGAGACAAGCATACCGCTGTATGTTTGAAAGGGGCACCAGTATTTGCTGGTGGGTTCATTGGCCCCGTCAGAGGCTCTCCTGAAATGTCTGAAGTGCCCTTTACAATGCCTTGAAATGTCTGAAAGCCTGTCACGAACTTTTCTAGTGGTGTCAGGAGAACCTTCAGGCTTTTTGAGGTGTCTGTGGGCCACGGCTTAGGTGGAGAAAACACATTTCGCAGAATGAGAACAAAGCTACATATTGTTCGCGAAGGGGAAAAAATAAGCATTTGGAGAATGTCGACCGTATGAGTGTACGGTCAGACTTTTATTACTGTTATTCTATCAAACACGACTGGGCTGCTGGACCCGTCTGTCACTGGCCGGGTGTTCGGTCGCCAAGGGGGCTACGGGGGGCGACCGCCCCATGTGGAGAATTGACGAGGCGCGGGACGAGTGTTGTCGGCCGAGCGGCGTTTTGAGGCGAACAAGCTTTACTTGTTGCACTAATAATAATAAAAAAGGGCAAGCCGAGAGCAGCGCGTTGCCCGAGAACAGGGGCGCGGGGGAGATTGCGAGGGCGAAGCGGCAGCGACTCGTCCCGGTTACCGGTTCCTCCACGGGGGACGGTTCCCAAAAAAGGAGAAAATAAACAGAACCATTTTGCTTTTCACCAGAGTCGGAAGTCCTCTCTTTTTCGTCATCGTCAAAAACTCGAACAGGCAACTCAAATTGTCCCCCCCCCCCCATCTTTTACAACGCCTACACGCACACACTGCGCTTCTCTCTGTCCGGCAATCGGCAATGGGGAGAGGGTGCAGAACCGCCAGGGCCGGGCAACCTGCTTCTCCAGTGGTAGGCGGGAGAGAGTAGTGTGAGGACGCCGGGGAAGTCAGGAGGCCGCTATAGCCATTTTCTTTCCACTCGTGGGCGGTTTGTTTCTTACCGCCGTGGATATCTGGAACGGACCGGTTTCCTCCAGAAAGGTGAGCATGACTTTGAGGGCTCGCATCTTGTTCTCTTGGGCTCTTGGGCGCTCGAGCGGCGCCTTCAGCACCGCTCGAGCGCCATCGTGTTCAGCACATTCAAGGATATGGTGGCCGGTGTCAGCCTACCCGCCGCAAGCCTGGCAGTCGGGATCAGCGTCCCACTGCAAGTAGTGCCTGCATACCGGGATCATGGCTCTGTGGGTCCTGAGACGGTGGATGACGGCCGCTTTCCCGCCTTGTTTCTTGCGCCTCTTCTTCCGTCCGGCTTCACAAGCATCCCGCGAGCGAAAAATACGCCGAAGACGCCGCTCCGACGGTATCGTGGACGAAACCGTGACTGTGCTCGGGATTTCTCAACGGTGACGGGTGCTGCTTGCGAGTTCGTGATTTTCGCTAAACGTGCTTACTAAGACTGTGTATATGTACTACGTGAGGTACACCTGCTCGGTTTTCTTAGTTGAACTACCGTACATCTGGAATTTACTCAGCGGCATTGTGAGTACTTTGAAAGATATTTTTCTTTGTGATAAAGAAGTCAGTTGTCCGTGTTTGATGTGATCTCTTTCGTCTACAGCTGCTTGCGCCCGGGTTTGAACAAGCGTTGGTTTTTATCATATTTTTGAGTTTTAATATGCATGTGAAACTCAATGTCCGCAATAAACTTCAAATAACGTTTTGAACTGCATTTTTGTCTATGGTTCACAGTCATTTGGGCGCCTAAAGGGTTGATGGGCTAAGGGGTTTGAGTTGAAGGGTCGGACGGGTTGACGGGCTGTAGGGCTGGAGGGTTTTTCTGCGGGGTATGCCTGAAGGGTTTTTCTTAGGGTAGTTTTGAAGGATTTTGAAGGCCTGTGAGGTCCCATAATCCTTCAAGGTTGATGGGCCCCTGAGAATTATTTTCAATAGGGCTGCCCTTTCTTTCTAAGAAACACGCACAAAAAATGGCGATCACTACTTTGTGAAACAGTGCTGCACCGTGCACATTCTTGCCAATATCATTAGGGTGCACAGTTTTCTCAGGAACTATGTTCGAGGTATATTTTTGCAAACTAGCTAATAGCTCCGCCTTTCACGCTTCTTGCGAAGGAGTGGACGTGTTCTACGAGAAGTACCTCAACGCCTTCCGCACCGGCGGCGTGGCCATCAAGGGCCTCGAAGCAAACGTGGTGCCCCGCCGGGCCATGCAGCAGGAGGCATTTCTTGAGGAGTACCAGTTCGTGCCGTACCTGGACGACGAGTCGGCTGGCCGCCAGCGCGAGGCCGCGGTCCTCGAATATGTCGAGGTCTGCAGCAGCGTGGCCCGCCGCGTGCTCGAATCGTCCGGAAAGAACAAGGTTCAGATCTCGGACATAATGAACAGGTTTCGCGAGGCTCCCGAGCAGGTTTTGAACAAGTACCTGGAGAGCCTGGCAGAGAACCACGGGCTGTTGCGCGTCCTGGCCAGCATCCAGAACGAGGCCAAGAGCTCGGCGGGCTCCCTGGTGACCACGGTCCAGTCGGCTCTGGCGGCCCACAAGGAGGACCTCGAGAGGGACCTCCTCAACACGGCCCTCCTGAAGGAGGACCCACTGCGGCACCTCCTGGACGTGGTCGTCGAGAACACCGGCGTCAAGAGGCTAAAAGTCCTCGAAATGGCCGCGGATGCGGTCCCCTTGCTCCTGGCGCCCCGGGTATCCGCTCTCCTGGCGCTATCCCACATCCTCCTCAAGATGGACCTGACGATTGCACATCCGCAGCCGGATGTCTTGACGGAAGAGCAAGTTCCGGAAGACGCCAAGAAGATGGCCTGGGATGTGGCATCTCCGCCACAGACCGCCCTTGCCGAGGCTGACCTCCTGGTAGCCCGTGACGCAGCCAGCAGCGAGGCGCTAGAGGCGCTCATGGACGCGCTCGCGGCTCACTCGAGGGAGGGCGGCTTCGTTCTGCTGTCTCTGCGGACCGCGCTCACGCCCGCCGAGATGTTCCTGTCGAATGTGGGCAAGGTGCCGCTCAGGGTGCACTCTCGAGACTTCGTCGAGGCTTCCTTCAGAAAGCGCGGCTTCCGGGTTGTGTGCCTCCGATCCAACAATTTGTCTGCGCTCCTGCTGTTCAGGAAAGGGTCGGCGACGCCGGCCGGTGCAGAAAAGCAGGCGGTAATCCGGGTCGGAAGTGGCAGGTTCGACTGGGTGGAAGAAATCAAAGCCAAGGCGATCGAGTACCAGGAGCGGCCGGCGGGCGAGAACGTCTGGCTGGTGGCCGAGGACGTGGGCACCAGCGGGGTCGTCGGGCTCACCAACTGCCTCAGGCAGGAGACTGGAGGGGACCACATCAGGTGGGCAGTCCACGTTGCGGAAGCGAACGGTTCCGGCAGTGTGCAAGCGTCCGAGAGAGGTTTCGGTTGATCGTTAAAGTTCCACAGGCTGCTTAAGTGTACCTAACCCTGGTCTTATCAAGCATAGTGTAAGCTGACAGTTAGGTTGAAAGTCTCCTGTTACATTTGACACAGGCATAACGATGTCCTTGAGACTTCTTTCTACCTATAAAACACGTTCTTCAGAGCGTGGCTTGTAATTTAGACATCCCGCTTGAAGCGAATCTGTTTTTTCAACTGCCTTCGCTTAATCCATTGTTCTTTCATTGTGTTATTCATTGGCTATTTTGGTGTAGTGAATTCTTGCATCCCCATATACCTGTAAGATCATTCAGGCATAGTCTACTGTTTTTAATTCCAAGGTGTTATACTCGCTTTGGTTACGTAGAAACGTTTATGTTCCTAATGCGGAGGGCAAGTTCGTCTGCTTCTTGCGCAGGGGGTAGCGGTGACGTCAGAACGCCGAGCCCTGATTGGCTGATCGCGACCCCCCTATCTGAACGTCGTCTGCTTCTTTGCAACGTCGTCTGCTCGCAACGTCGTCTGCGTCTGTCTTACCTTTCCTGCGACTTTCAGAAGTGCAGAGGCCAGATTCACGAAACGAATTTACGCCAAAAATGTGCGTAAGACAGAACTTAAGAAGAAATTCGTATTCACGAAACAAAATTTTCGTAAGTTTTGAGCAGGTTACGACGAAATCCTACGACAGTTCCGAAGCTGTCTTACGCACTTCTTACAATCAAATCAGCATGGCCGACAGCGTCGCGGTCGCGACGACCCACGGACATTTATTTTTCTACGTGCGCTTCTCACGCGTCCGGACTTCAAGCAGCAGCAAGAAAAAAGTAAAAAGTACTTGAAACAGACCACGACGAACAAGAACGCTGGATCCAGAAACACCCGGGAAAAGCTCCAACGGCCACGATTCCACTGAACGCGACCAAGCGAGCACGGCAGTTAGGCCTAGCAGACACTTCGCGACTCGGCGACCGTCTGCCCATGACCGGCTGGTGTGCTGAATGGAATATGCCCGCGCGACCCTTGTGAACCCTTCCCGTATTACACGCACGTTGTACACGCACTTTAGTTCGATATATCCCATATTTCGCTATATGAAAACCGGGCCTACCGCAAATTTTTAAGGCCGGGCGTTGTAATGAACAATTATTTTCTTGACACTACGCTAAACACGCGCTTTAAAAAATTCTTAAGCGGACCGAAAAAAAAAATAACAACGAGAACGTTTTAGGCGGGCTAACTGCTGGAACAAGAAATATTTCTTGAACTGTTTATTCCGCGACGACGTTTGCACAACCAGAGCACCAAGGCGCGCGTGGAAAGAAAAATCTTAGCGTTTTAGCTGATTGTGAAACTTTTTCGTCTGGGTTTAGACCCAAAATCTTCAGTACAACAATCGTGTCCTCGAAAGAAATGGGATTTTGCTGCCGTGACACCAGAGTACGGCCACAACCAGCGGAACTGCACAGAGACGAAAAAGAGAGCCGCGCAAAGCAGCCGAGCCGCAGCGTGGATTACTGCTTGCACACGAATGCCGCGGCGTCTCCAGCCGCGAAGGCCCCATGATTGCAGGCCCCAGAAGTTTGATGATCGCTAAAATCTACCCTGCGCCAAGGAACCATTTCCAGCTTGTCAAGGAATGACAAAGACTGTTGCCATTTCCCGCGTAAACCGGATTAGCACGCGGAAGTCAAAAGAAAAAAGAGCTAACAAACGAAACTTGGCGGTTAAGAAGCCGCCGACGCGGTCTCTGAATGGCTTTAGGCACTGACAGAATGAGAACGGCAGGGCGCGTCTTTCGAACATTCGGCCTTCAGCACTCGTTCCGTGCCTTCCGTCGTGCTCTACCATGCACGCGCACGCTCGTGATGCACGAGATGTTGGAGCATCGTCGGATGCAGGGAGCTCGCTCTGGAGACTAGCAATGAAACTCCTCCCTGCCCTTGTCATTTTGTCGCCGACTGTAGTGACGGAGCGAGACAGCACCGTTTCTCGGCGCAGGGTCTAAAATACAAACGGCCGCAGTTCACACCCGCACGACAGAACGACAAGACAGCCATGGGCTGCAGCCGCGTAAACAAACGTGACTCGAATGGACAAGCGACCGTTGTAGTGACGTCGTCCGGTAAGGGACGAGGTCACTCCTTACGACGGCACATGGGCGAAAAGTTCTACCACAAGAACGGTAACATTAGGGGCCGATTCCAGTAAGACTGGTTTCGATGCCCGGATTACGTATCTTCCGTGAAATGGATGCACGTCGAACGGTTGGTGTTCCGTGCTCTGGCTCGAGTAAACAAAGACAGTAGCTCGTGACAGAGATGATATCTTTTGGCTCTGTGTTGCTATCACCCGAATATTAGTGGAAGCAAGTGCACGTGTTTGTTCTTTTATTTTTCGTAACTACTCCAGGTGCAACCGGTTGCCAGGGGCATTTGCCGTGTGTAAGCTAGAGAGCCTAGATTGAAGAGAGGGTTCATCTCAAACCATGGGGAGCGTCTTTGATTTGATCGCGAATGCCTCCTGCGAGTGCCTCCTGATGCCAAGTGCGCATGCACTGCGCGTGGAGAGGAGGAAAGCAGGCGGAACCATTTGCCGACAATCGACGTGGTCGTCACCGCCTCGCCCGCTCGTATTGCAAGTGGGGTCCGTAAGCCACATGACCGCGATCGAGCAGTTGGAAACCCTCCATGATCTCGGCTCTCCAGTATGCCTTTCCGCGGTCACCTGCATGCCGAGCACGCCTCGGACTAAGTGCAATAAATACAATCGCTATCAAGACTGGACCCCGTCTCGACGGCTTACTCTTGGCCCTCAGCCGGCACCCCTTGCCTGTGGACGGAGCACGCGGTCCTCAACGTGCAGACCCGGGGTGACCTGTCGAGCCTGCTGTGGTTTGAAAGCCCCCTGCGGTACCGGCCGGCCTCGGACGACCGGGTGCTGTGCAGCGTTTACTACGCGCCCCTCAACTTTCGCGACGTCATGCTGGCCACAGGCAAGCTGGCCCCGGACGCCCTCCCCGGTGGGTGCATGTCGCTCAGCAACGCTGCGGATCGCTTTTAGTTCTTTTTAGATGGGTGATGTCTCCCGCGGGGACGGACGTAAATAGATCCTTTCCGAAATTCAGCTCCGCCATTTTGATCACTATCGTCTTCCGTGGGATGGGATACTAATGCAAACGACTTTATTTTCGTGGGCTCCGTACTTCGCGAATTTCACGTGTCAGCTGCTTCGGCAGTACTGGCAATCAGAGTGCCGGGTCTTCCAATTCAGAATTTTAACGCCTTTCAGAGTTGAATTCGGAGGATCCGATGTTACTGTCCCACAGACCAGCTATAAGTCATCCGATTCTAAATCCGAAACCGCCAGAATGTTCTGTAGGGGGATGCATGAAAATAAAATTGAATAAAAAAAAAGGTGACAACTTTTTGCCGTCAGTATTTTTATTCGATACTTCTAAATCTTAGAAGCTTGGGTGCATTGTACGCGCTCCCGCTAGATAATTGAGAACACCCCGCGCATTGACCTTCGCTTCGAAAACGAAACCCGGCCTCTGGGAAGCACGTTTTGAGTAAAAATCGACAGTCAAATGGTTAAAGTGCAGCTGTTTGGGCTTTTGCACATTCTTCCCTCCTCGAGCTAACGGGTGCACCACTTTCATCTTCGAAACCGACAAGAAGGGTCGCGCGATGCGTCTTGAGATGCAGGCAATCTAGCGACGTCGGAGTGCGTGCTGGGGCTGGAGTTCTCCGGGCGGGACCCCTCGGGGCGCCGGGTGATGGGCTTGGTGGTGGCCGGGGGCATGGCGACCGCCGTGGCGGTCGACCCGGACTTCCTGTGGGAGGTGCCGGCGGACTGGAGCCTGGAGGAGGCGGCGACGGTGCCAGTGGCCTACTCGACGGCCTACTACGCCCTGCTGGTGCGGGGCACCATGCTTCCCGGGGAGGCCCTTCTGGTGCACTCGGGCAGCGGAGGCGTCGGCATGGCCGCAATCTCCATCGCCCTCTCCATGGACTGTACCGTCTTCACCACCGTCGGTGGGTGGGACCCTCCTCACTTAAATACCCCGCGTAGGGGCAAGAGTCGCGGGTGCCGACGTCGGCGGTCTTGAGACAAGAAAACGAGAGCAAAGGAAGAGGAGAAAAAGAATGCGAATGATTAGTTGGACGTGTTCACTTCGCTGCGACGAGTCCAAAATGTTAGATTGGTCGTCAACATTATCTATTTTGTAGACATTGCACGACGTCGGCGTTTTTTTGCGAAATAAGCTAGAAACGTGTTGGATACAGATCTTACGGAGGACGTTTTGCTGGCGAGATGGGCCCATCGGGACCACATACTGGGACCACTAATGTCCATGTCTATGCCCCGCTGTTACAAAGGGGCCAGAACGAATGGGACCTTTACATTGCTGTACAAGAAGGCAGGAAAAAGCTGCTAAAGCGAACGAAACCCAACAAAACGTCCGAAGATAAGGTCACTGTACGCTTTGACAAAGTGAAAAAAAAAGACCAACTGTAGGCATGGGATAAAAACAAGAATGACATCACTCCCCTGCCTGGAAGTAGTACCCAAGAATGACCGCGACCAAAAGCTGTTACTAAAACGTCTGCAATAGAAATACTAAATGTTAGCGCATGAAGCTTGTTCAATACACTGGAAAAGCCTGAGGCGATGCCTAATAAAAAAAGACCGTCATAAAATTTCTGATGGTTCATCAGGCTGATGGCCTGTCGTATTTTGGGACATTGATGGTTTATTGGTGTGATGGTCTGTCGTATTTTGGGATATCTGACGGCTTAATGATTTAATGGTCTCTTGGTCGGTATGAATTTCTAATCGCACATATGAACGACAGGAAACAAACATTCCATTAGAGTCAGTTGTGAACTTTATTCTGTTCCCATTATTGTTTCATAAAGGAACATCCGAAGCGTTAGGGTACTTTCCGAATTCCCTGTAGGAACCTGAAAGCAAAGTTTGTATTTAGGTTATGGCATGTTATTTTTCTTTCTACTTATAAATGATTCAACGTTGAAATATTAATTTGCAAAAACTAAACGGGAGAGAAAATGCGTTTAATCCACTCACTACTCTCGAGACTCCACGACGCGCAGCAACTTCATCGGTGTCCGTTACCCCCGTGGCTATCTTCACTCTCCCCATCGTCTATGCTGGGCATGACGGCTTCGTGCGACAGCGTGGAATCCACTAAGCCTCGTCGGCCCGAGAATGCAGCAAGCGTCGTATTATCGCATTCGCAGCTTTGTAAACGTTTTTCCTCGCAAACATTTAGTTCACAGTACACGTACACCTAGTATATGAATTTCCTATCAAGCAAAATTAGTTTTTCGGCACATTCTCTGCCACTTAGATCGTAAACATGACATAATTGACATTCAAAGCGGATCAACAAATTGTTTCGCCAACGGATGATAAAACAATTCAAAACAAAACTATGGTTGCAAAAACATACCTGAGTTTATAAGAAGTTATCTTCGTTGCCTTTCCAGTATCCTAGGACAACTGTTGAGGCGAATTATCACGGATTGAACACCCTAATATTGAGCCACGCCGCTGTCAGATTACCACATCGAATGCAATTCACGCCTGGGCGACGACATGAGATCATCAGCGCCTTCCCTGGGCCACTGCTGGAACCTCCCGAATATAGTCAGGTTCTTTCCACCACTGAAAGGTGTCATGTGAAACGCCATCAGCGTTTTCGCGTTCTGGTGGTCTATCGAGATATTCTGATGGTCTCACCCGGGCAACATCAAAACGTTTTGGAAGTCTGTCGGTCACCACAAGAAACGTTTTGACGGTCTCTGAGCTACAAACAGAAGCCTGTAACGGTCAATCAGCCGCCATCAGGCAAGGTTTGATGGTCTATCAGGCACCATCAAGTAAGCCTCTCGGACCATCGACAGTTAATTACGATGTTATAAGCGCGGTTACAAGTACTGTGTTAATACATATACGGCAAAAAAAACGTACTTAAGACGGTTGTTTGGAGTTTTATAACATATTATTCGTAAAGTTCGTCGACATGTCGGCCTGAGACAGACGTTCTTCAAGTCTTGAAAAAGGTCTGTCTCGGGCGCCGTTCATAACGGACCATCCGGTGCCGTTATGAACTTCTGGTGACCGTCAAACTCTTTTGATGGTCCACCAGGGAAGTCCGATGGACCATTAGCTGCCATTGGAGCCCCTGACGGACCACCAAAAAACTTTCGATGGTCCATCAGGGAAGTCTGGTGGAGCATCAGGTGCCATTGCAGCTCCTGACGGACCATCAAAACGCCTTTGTTGGTCCGTCAGACGCTATCAGTGAAGTCTTATGGACCATCATATCCCTTTAATGGTCTAATTCGAAGGTCTGATGGACCATCAGGCGCCATCAAGTAGGTCTTGTGGGGCATCAAGGAAGCCTGATGGGAAATCAGAGAAGTTTGATGGGCCAACAAAAAAGTTTGATGGACCATCAAGAAAGTTTGATGGACCATCAAAAAAGTTTGATGGACCATCAGATTTTCTCGATGGTCTTTTCGATCAGGATAACCATGATTCACGAACCGGACGTGATGATAGTGACAGGAACCTGGCTTTCGTCGCGTATTCAAAATAACGAGCTTGATATACCAAACTACTCTGTAATAAAAAAATATCGACAGTCGCGCGGTGGAGGGGAGGCTATCTTGTACAAAATATGGCTTAAAGCCACGCAGATCCCGGACGTGACAGACATGGAGTCATTATGGTGCAAACTTTGGTTTAAATGATTTCACCCTTTATGTTCGTCTGCTTACAGGCCTTCCAAGAATCTGCGATTTTTTCTGGCGTTTTGAATACCTAGATGCAACCGGACGTTCAACTAAGGGATAAAATAATAAGGGCGTGAGATTTCAACCTCCTCAAATTGCTTGGCCCGAACCTCAAGACCCTTTGGCATGTCTTGTCGCAATAAATACTATGTGCGACATTTGATTGAGTTATCAGTTGACCCAGATTGTGTCAGACTTTACACGTACAAAGGCTTCGCGCAGAGTGTCCCGGACCTGATATTTGTGAGACTACTTTCTAAAAGAGCTAGACGTGGACACCGTTGACGGCATATCTGACCGTGAGATTGTGGCAGTCTCGCTAAGACTAGATGCTGTGCCAAAATGTACCAGCGAGGTTATTCAAGTTTTCGATTTTAATCATGCTAATGACGTGGCCATCCTGGATTGTTTCAACTTTCACTTTGACATTTCCTATGAACTATTCCTGCGATCAAATACTTCCACAAATTACCTTTGCAATTTCTTCAAGTCATATGGTTTTTCATTGTATGAACACCTATATTTCAACTAAAACCAAAAGAACCGCTCAGCGAAATCCTTGGATATATATAACGTGTGAAATCGTTCATACCAAGCGAGAAACTAACATACTACCAAAACAAACGACGATTAGGAAAAGAGCATAGAAGAACAAATCACGAGCTTAACTAAAGAACATGCGAGTGAAATAAGGTGTGCCAAAAAGAAGTTTTACAACGACAGTCTTCATTCCTTTATGAGAACACCACCAGATAAGTTATGGAGGCACATAAATCCGCGCAAACGTAAGTAACGCTACAGCAATCGTCAGAAAACCCGGACAAGGCTAACAACTTCAATGACTACTTCCTTTCAGTCTTAACACATGACAACGACGTTGTGTCACCCTTCATGGATAGGCAATTGCAAGGTACCGTAGGCAGCATCACAATTTCTGAGGACTTCATGCTCTGTCTTCTTAATCTTGACCCTAAAAAACTGCCGGGCCAGATAACATTACAAACCCGTTTCTGATAAGGTACGCAGAATAGATATCAAAATACTTATCACTAATATTTAGGAAATCGCTACATGAATCAAACATTCCACCCGACTGGAAGGAAGCTAAAGTTATTTCAATTCATAAATCGAGCAACAGAGGAAGCATTTCAAATTATAGACCGATTTCAGTTACATCAACGTGTTGCAAATTATGGGACATGTTATCCTAAAGAATATAGCTGCTTTCGTAGAAGAAAACAACGTGTTAGATATGTGCCAGCATGGTTCTCGATCCGGCTTGTCAGCCGTAACTGAGTGAATTGAAAGCGTGCACGTACCTCGTTTATAAATCGTAAAAGCAAGGCGGATATCACATTTCTAGATCTGTCAAAATCATTTGACAGGGTCTCCCATAATAAACTACTTTTCAAATTAACTGAAATTTTAGGCGACAGAGAAGTTGTAAATTGGATTAAGGACTGACTACCTCTCTGGATAATCCCAGTTGGTGAAAATTAGCGGAAATAGCTCAAGTAATAAGTCAGTGTGCTCCGGAGTACCTCAGTGTTCAGTACTTTTTCCGCCTCCCTTCCTGCTCTTTAATAATGATATAACTGATAACATCGCCATCAACGTTAGACTTTTTGCAGACGATTGTATAATACATTCTGAAATAGCGAATGCTTCGGACCACTTAACATTACAAAGCGCTTGGACAAGATCTTAGACTGGTGTAAAAAATGGCAGATGGTTAGTAACGGAGACAACACAGTAGCCATGTCCATAAGTAGGAGGGAAAATATAAGGATTCATTCTTATAAGATCAACTCAAACATAATACAAGACGTGCACGAGTTCAGGTACGTGGGGGGCATGCACATAAACGCAGTGGTCAAAAAAGCACCGACGTACTTTCGGTGCATAAGAAGGCGACAAAAATACGCATCCCCCGATACTAAACTCTTGACCTACACAACACTTCCCCCGCCTGTGCTTGAATATACTAGCCCTGTTCGGTTCCCCTTCACAAGAATTAACATACAAAACTTGGACGAAGTGCAGAGGCTCGCTATAAGGTTCATTACCAATAAAATTGGCACGCGTTATTCACCATCTGAGCTGTGTAGAGGGCTCAGGGTGCAGCCACTAGAAAAGAAAAGCTAAGCTCACGAGATTGAAACTAATTTACCAAAAACCCAATAACTTGACTAAAATAAAAAAAAATCCAACTT